AACATACCGGTAGGGAGATACATTAATACAAGAAATTAAATGTGTAGATGTGCCATTTCATGTTGACCCTCAGCATTGTTATGTATGGTGAAGAAAGATTATACTGATTGTATCCTGGTGAACAGAAAGATGCAGGTAACCATAGCTAAATTTTTCAGTTTGTAAGGTTCACAAAAGACACAGGTCCATTTAATTCAACCTATTTATGTATGTATGTATGTATGTATGTATGTGTTTTTGTGTATGTGTATGTCGTTATGAACGTCCATACCTCTGTATATTTTGTGAACTGAGAAATGTGGAACTTGTGATGCCATAAGTTCCACATTTTACTGTTCTGACAGTACGAAAAACCTGTACGCAGTTTAGGATTAAACCTCTTCTTGTCCAGTATTAACTCTGCATTATTAGTGACAATTAGATCTAAGATGGCATTTTTTCTGGTAGGAGTCTCCACCATCTGGTCCATGAAGTTGTCGCGCAACATGTTTAGAAATCGCCCCGCCTTTGCCGAACCCGAAGTTCCATTGGCCCAATTTATGTCTGGGTAATTGAAGTCACCCATCACGACTACATTGCCCTCTCTCCCAGCTATTCCTATCTGTGAGTGAAGATTGACTTCTCCCTCTTCCCCTATATTTGGAGGTTTATAGCAAATACCCACGAGAAGTTTACGGCTAGCGTCCGTCATATCTAGCTCCAGCCATGTTGTGCTCACAAGTCTTCTTCAGAGTCCTTAGCTTAAACAGTTTATTCTCGATACTGCAGGTTTGTATATTACAATCATATCTCCTCTTGGGAGCATCTTCTCCAAGGACAACACGTTCAGTTTCTTTATTCATTCTTCATAGCTTAGGTCCTCCATCCCCCTTATAAATTCTGTTGGCCTTCTCTGGGTTCAAGGACATCCTTCCGAGAATTGGTGAACAAAATTGAACCACATACTCAAGATGAGGCCGCCCCTATCTGGTATGACGTGTAATTAGGCCCGCCCCTTATCTGGTATGACGTGTAATTAGGCGGGCCTAATTACACGTCATACCAGATACAGGATTTTGGTTTTCGTTACTTTGTTTTTATTCGATTCAAATAAAGCCCCTTTGGAAACTGTTATATGACTGTGGAGGCACACCACTTGCTGGTCACTGATCGCTGAGAGACGCGGTGAGGACGCTGCGGCTCCGGGAGCTTTTATTTAAGCGCTTCTGGCTGCTTACCACAGCCACTATATCACGGTGAGTGCACAATCTGAGGGGATACGTATGGCACTAGAACAGTAGAAAGGCATCATGGCACACACACTCAAGGCTTGAGTGTGCCATGATGCCTTTCTACTGTTCTACTGTTCAAAGCCCATTTCGTGTGCACCTTACTGTATAACTGGTAACAAATTGTTGAGTGCGTTTGTCGTTTGTTTTGCTTTACGTATGGCACTAGCCCACATCCCCAACAAGCTTCACGGAACCTTCACATCAACTCACAAGTTTTGTGCACCTGGAACACTTTATCGCTATTTGCGTTGTTTTTTTAAACCAACACTAATCACTCCATGGACACTGGGGGATTGTATTTCCAGGGTATTTGCGGTTTATAAGAAAGAAGCACATAACACAGTTTAATTTTCATTTACTCTTTATTTCACAATTATTGATGGTATACTGTATATGAATGTATATCTGTACTTTTTATTTTCTCAAGTATTGATAGTATATATGAATGTATATCTGTTATAAAAATTGTGGGTACACTGATCCACACTGATTTTTCGTTGATTGATTCACGTTATGCCACCGATCACAGTTTACTGTTAAGTTAAACACATTCATTTCGTTTTTATTATTATTATTATTATTATTATTTTTTTAATTATTATTATTATTCTTGTTGGCGCTGCATAGTTGGAAACTCATAGATGGAAGGGTGTGTACATGGATAGAGAACTAGCTAAAGGAACGGGTACAGAGAGTATCAATAAATGGCGCCCTTTCAGACTGGACTAGTGTCATTAGTGGTGTGCCTCAGGGTTCTGTGCTGGAACCCATGCTTTTCAAACTGTTTATTAACGACATCAGGGACGGAGTAAACAGCGATATCTCTGTGTTTGCTGATGATACCAAAATTTGGAGGGTAATAGAAACGGACCAAGATAGTGTAACATTGCAGGAGGACCTGGATAAAATAGGGGAGTGGGCAACTATGTGGCAGATGAGGTTTAATTTCGATAAATGCAAAGTTATGCACTTTGGGATTAAAAATAAGCAAATGGGTTATACAATTATGGGTATGCCGCTAGGGAAGTCAGAAATGGAGAAATATTTGGGGGTCATTGTAGACCATAAACTGAATAATAGATTACAGTGCCAGGTTGCGGTAAGCAAAGCTAGTAGAGTCCTGTCCTGCATCAAGAAGGGAATGTTTTGCAGGGACAGGTCTATAATTGTGCCACTTTACACATCACTGGTTTGGCCTCACCTAGAATATGCGGTGCAGTTTTGGGCACCGGTGCACAGAAAGGATGTCCTTGAGCTGGAGAGAGTCCAGCGGAGGGCAACCAAACTCATCAAGGGGATGGAGGACCAGAACTATGAGACACGGCTACTAAATTTAAATATGTTCACGCCGGAAGTAAGGAGATTAAGGGGGGATATGATTTTCATGTACAAGATGTTCAATGGTCATAGCAACATTAGCAACAAACTCTTTAAGATTAATTCCGTAACAAAGACAAGAGGCCATCACCTAAAATTGGTAGAAAAAAAAATTCCAACACAAGGGGCAAAGGGGGTTCTTCTCAGTTCGAGCGGTTAGGGTCTGGAACTCGCTGCCACAAGCAGTGATTTCAGCAAATAGTGTGGAATCATTCAAGAAGCTTTTGGACGATTTCCTGAGAGACCGTAAAGTACAGGGGTACAGGTACTCTTAAGAATGAGATGACTCAGGGACCTATACACACACACACACACACACATACAAAAAAAATGCTGTCCCCCCAAACCAGTTAGGTAAGAGAAACAAAAATGATATTATAAATTATTCATAAATTACTGCCAGTACTCCTGGACCTTGTGCTTCTTTGACTGGGAGACCAACTTGTCCACTAATGCTTCCTACTCCTACTTATATGGTGGCTGCAGCTCCTTCCTCTTCCTGGTCACCGTGCTGGGCAATGTATTGGTGTGTGTGACTTTCGTCCGGTTGTATTGGCAATTCGTGCGCCGGACCTCCCTGGGAAACCAGCACCAAATCTCTTACTTCAGGCAGCGGAGGAGCTTCCGCAGGACCCCAGGGCTGAGATCCAGTTGGTCATCATGCTCATCGGCACCCCCGTGGTGGTGAGTCCGGGGAAGTGCAGCCTATAAGTTCCGTGCAGGGTTATGTCTCTAGAGCGGGGCAAGCTACAGAGCCCAGCAGCCAAGGCAGAAGATGGGTAACTGCAGAAATAGAGAGCCCAGCATATTAAGGCAGATGATCGGTGTTGCAGCTGCAGAACTAGAGACTAGCACAGCATGGCAGGAGAGAATGGTTATTGTAGCTGCAGAACTAGGGAGCCCATCAAGCCAGAAATGGAGAAGGTGGCTATTTCAAAGGTAGAACTAGAGCGTCCCGCTACGTTGATAGCGCAACCTGTCAGAACCGTGCGCAATGTATCCTGCGACTGACAGGTTATTCAAAATGTAATAAACAGGAAGGGGTGGGACTAATTTAGATTAGGGATGGGAGGGCGCTCGGGTTTAATCTTGCCTAGGGCAGCACAAAACCAAAATACACCACTGACTATGTAACTATAATTGGATGCTGTTTTGGCATGAAGATTACAGCATATCTCACCGGGACACCAGGGGTTAATGAAAAGCCTGATCAACTGTGGTGGAGGTCTTCAGATGGTCTCCAGTTCTTCGGTTTTGCATCAAGTAACGTGGAATCACAGTTGAAAGGCTGTTCTGTTCTTGCCAGAAATGGCAGAGTTTTACATAAGTCATATTAAAGGGGCTTTCAGAGTTTGGCTATTTATGGCTACCTAACATTTTGCAACAATGTATGGTTACTACTAATCAACATCTGCTGTCCTACAGAAGCAAACTTATGAATTAAATTACACCATTACTAGTTACTCTTATTTTACAGCAAAACAGAACAGAAGACAGAATCTTGTGTGAATAAGCCTTTAATTCTCTAAGTTATGACCAGTAATACACAACTTGATCTTTAAAAGTGATATACTTGATCTGAGCACCACTTGCATGAGCCTCACTTGATCTGGTAAGGATTAAGACAGGTAGATCTTCCATGGAGAGATAACATGTCCAGATTTTATTGTAAAATCTCTTTGTTAGTAGGCGCTGTTCTGTTTTCTGTTGAGGAAAGGTAAAGGTTTTGGAACATGCACCGCTACCAAATGCTAGGACTGTTTTATTGTGTGGGTGTTTTACCAGCCTTCCTTCTTCTCTGTTGCACAGTGCAGTATTGAGAAACATGATTAGGGTACGGCACAGATTTCCAAGGGCAGCATGGTAATATAATCCCTGGCAGAGTTGCTCTACACAGATTCATACTGGAATTTTCTAAGCATACCTTTTCTAATCGATTTTTATATTTGCTGCATTATGCGTTAAAAAAGGTTCTATACAGGAAAAAAGGTTCTATACAGGATATAAAGTAACACAATATTTGCACTTATCTTGAATGGAAAATTTTTGGAAAAATGTTAATCATTTAGTAGATATTATGTTAACAACTCATAATGATAAAGCTGAACAGAGGAATCTTCGCTTCTGAAAGAGAATTTAATCTGAAGAATCTACAAGTCTTCTGCTACTAAACAAGAAGACGAGATTAGCAGCTAAAATACCTTTTCCAGGCATGTATTTTTTCCCCTGAATAGCTCTGGAATTTGATCTAACATTGAAGGGAAAGGCAAACCGGTTTGACCAGTCTGGAGGTCCTGTTTCATACTGGTAACTGATTTCTTTGAGACGAAAACCTCACTCCCAGTCCATTGTCAGAGCACACCTGTTAGTCAGACAGAGACTGGCAAAGGGACTTTGTGAGGAAAAATGAAGTCAACAACAACAAATGTATGCTACTTTGCGCTTCTTCTCCTGCACCTATCTCGCCATTTGTCAGCCTTGCTGTGTCCCAATGGACAATTTGTCCTTAATGCTCAGTGTGTGAACTGCCACCCAAGCTGTGAGGAATGTAATGGACAGGAGCCTTACGAGTGCACTGAGTGTGGGATAGGTAAGTGACTCTAGCCTTTGTTACTGCTAGTTGAGAATGCATTTACTATAACCACAACCACATGTATTACTATAAACCTGTGTAGATGTAAGTTGTTTATGCCTTAATACAATTATTGACTGTTGCTAATGGCTATTCAAAGTGAAAATACTTTCATTCGCTTAAAAATGTTCTTTGGTTTTTTAATAATTAAAAACATCAGCATTGAAAAAAAAATTTTTTGAACATTTTATGAAACAAAACTCGGTTCCTATTGTAGATTTTTGTTAACATCTTTTAAATAATAAAACAATTGTTTAACCATATTTATATAAAGTTCAACCTTCACTTTATTTGATATTTGGCATGAGTCAGAGTTGATGGGACTACTAAATAGTGCTTAACTAAATAACACTGGTATCCCAGACTGACACTCTAAGGTCCCATTCACACTAGAAACGGGCGGCACATACAGCTCCGTGCTGCGTGCACGGCCAAGGACAAGTGCTGCGTGTGATTAGTACACAGCCCCTGTCCTTCTCTATGGGACTGTACGGCCATACGACCCCCCTACGCTCACCTCAAGTGCAGGTCGGTGCGGGTGCGTGTTTCCTGGCTCGGACGCAGACAGGATTCATCGTGCAGTACATAGATATTTTATGCTTTACAAACACTATAAGCCCAAAGAAACACCTTATAGTCTGACAGAAATCCAGCATGCTCCCAACATCCTATTTGGCTGACAACACAGTGTATTTTCTGCTCTTAAAGCAATATTCAAGTCAAAATGTTTTAAATCTATTTTAAATGCTGATTCAATCACTTACAATGGATGCTGCTCCCTCATGTTTAAAAGTTTTAGTTTCCTGCAGAATCAGCTGGTCCCATGAGCACTGGCCTGGATTTCCTGTTTTAGGGTGGCTCCTTTCCCTTGCTGGGTCCCATGGAGCCATCCTTGTGTGTGCTAGCAAGCTGTGTGACTCCACAAAAACACAGGCACAACGAGGCAAATCACTGCCCTCCCCCAGCTCCTCTCTGCTCCTTCCTCCCTTCTCCAAGCTAGTAGATGGGCAGCTGTTGGAGACTGATCTGTCCCTTGTGATCTTGTACTGAACAAGAAGTTCAGGGAAGTCAAGTTGGAAGAGTTGGAGCCAGCTGTTCAGAAACATGTTTAGGAAAAAATGTAAAGAAATACTTTACTGGGCATGTTTGTTTGATCTGGAATCGTTACTGAAAAAGGTTTGAGAGTTCAATACTGCTTTAAATCCCAACCAGCATTGTCAGCCCTGTCTGCTTGACTGCCAATCTCTGCCTCCCTTCCCTCTGTCTCATTATACTTGCATGCATTGATTTTTTTTTTCCCCACCTAAACAATGCTGATGATACTTTGTGTAGGGAAAGGGCTCTTGAGAGATATAATTCTGGGGCACAAGTCTACATCATACTGGCAGCAGCTTTCCCTGCAAGAATTTTACGTAATTAAACTGTTTCTCTATACAGGTAAACCTTTGTATAATGCCTATACAAATCCATTAAGCTTGAACACTAACCTTGCACTAAAGATATACTAAAATATAATGGGGAGGAGAATATGATGACAATGTTTTCTTAGGCTTGTTTCATCCACTGTGGAAACAGTAAAGCTACCCATAAACTCATTCATACATTCTTTAGGTTCCCCATCTACTGTTAACAGTGTGAATAGAGCAACAGCTGAACAGTGCCAGTATCTGACTGGATGTAGGTATTGTTGGGCTGACAATTTTGCACCCATCTCCTTCACCACAATTTGTACCATATATGGCCAGCTTATGTATCTATTGTATCTACCCTGTTAAAAATGGAAATTTCCAAATGTATGCTTGTGTTTACCTGATTTCCTTTTTATATAATCTTATTTGTGCTTTTTAGGTTATAGACCATCTGGTCATAATGAATGGATGGCCTACTTGCATTGCAAACGTCAGAACAATTTTCAAATTGTGCACATGATTTGCAGCTTTGGAATCTGTAACAAAGATATCTGAATATTCATTGTAATTGATTCATAAAAACACAATTTATTATTATTTAACTCCAGGTAGATTTTATTTTATTCTTATATAGACTGGGGATGTGTTAGCCTTTCTGTCCTATTGTTTCTGACTGTGACCCTATGGGGAAGAGTTTTCTTTATGTTCTGTCCCTTTTGACACCAAGAAAAAGAAAAAAGAGAGCAGGTGTCACTGAAACAGTTACATGTAAAATTAAAAACTAGGGTTGGATCTGTACCGGTGCCGATACCAAGTATTTGGACAATTATTCATTCTTGCCCAAATGCTCTGATACTTACCTTCGATACTTGACTTCCGGTCAGAGGAAGATCTCCCTCTGACCGCAAGTGCTGGGGGAGCATGGAGCCGGCTTGCTTTCCAATCAGGAAGCTGGGCGGTGGATCATGACCCGCCTCCTGGCTTCCTGATTGGCTAGGAAGCTGGCTTCACTTGTTGCTAGGCAGCCTGGCTTTCTAACCAATCAGGAAGCTGGGAGGTGGATCATGATGTGTGTGTGATCAAGTGAAAAACAAATGACTGTTTATTTATTTCATCTACACAGGATTGGATAATTGAAGTAAACAGTCACACAATTTATTGTGGGGAAATAATTAAAACCTTTAGTAAATCAGCCACAATACATTGGGGTTGATTTGCTAAAGGCCAACAGGTTGTTTACTTTGAAAGAGAATTTCCACTTTGGAAGGAGAATGTTTCCTTAGCTTAATTAATGTGGCACAAACTAACTATACAAAGAATACCCAATCGGATGCAAGGAAAAAAAAAATATATATTTTTTGCTTGCACATGATTGGATGATGGAAGCCAGCATAGCTTTACCTCATTCAATAAGCTAAGGGAAAATTCCCCTGCAAAGTGCCAATTCCCTTGCAAAGTGAGCATCCTATTTGCCTAGTAAATTAACCCATTGTGTGAATATTTAATTATTCAATCATGCGTAGATCAAATTAGTAAACAGGAGTTTGTTTTCCACATGATTTGATAACTGAAGGAAATAAACATAATATAATTATGGCCATACACAGCTTGAATTTTAGCAGAATCCTGTGAAATCAGTCATTTTAAATCAAATATGGCTTTGTGTTTGCTTGTGTTCCAGTTAGAGGTATTTCATTACTTTCTATTCTCCCAGGAAGTGAGGGGAATACTCCCCCACAGGAAAACAGCAATGAAAACCTCACAGAGGCTCTAACCCTTTCCCGTTCAACCCAAAGACACAATTAAAAAAGTTTTGGTTGTAGTGGGGCTTCTACAGTCAATAAATTACTATATAAGCATTTGAAATATTCTATTTTGATTTTATAGATGAAGATGGCATTGAACGTTTCCTTCACCGCAGCCGCTGCAAGCTGCACTGTCCTCGTGGCTTTTACCCAGAGCGGAACACCTACACCTGTGAATCTTGCCCACTAAACTGTGACCTTTGCACTAACACCGATAGCTGTCAAAAATGCAAGACCAACTACAAGCTTCAAAATGGAGAATGCTTTTTAATACAGTGCCCACAAGGTATTTTACCAAACTTGTATCATATTGTCTGCTTATATTATTTTTTATATAACACATATTAGTGATCATTTAGAGATGAAAAGGTGTATGATATATGATCTTGAAGCGGTTTTACTACTTTAAAAGGAAAACAACAGGCCCTGCTTCAGGGTACTAATATATACATATATATAAATATAAAAGGGGACGGCGGAGCATAAACTAATTAAATTCATGCACGTATACAAAACTGGTAAGAATCATGAGACAGACCTTGGGGGGATTTGTAAAGTAAACAACTGAAAGACAC